GGCACAGCGGTATGTCTGCGGACTTACAACGCTAGAAACCGAGTTTCTATACCCGTGGTTGGCAGAGCACAGATAGCCCATTGTGTAGCTTTGTGCTTAATTACAAACAAAACAAAAAACAAACAGCTCAAGTTGTACACAGAAAGTCACTGAAGTAAACACATCTAAGTTTTCCTGTCTTTAACTCTTCCTATGCTTAATTCACTAATTGTCAATTAACCACGTTTTCCTGCAAGAAAGATAGATAGCTCGTAATACTCAAAAATAGAAGGCTTTCTTTTCTGTCATTGTTCGAGGTTCACCCCGCTCTTGCACTTCAGCCGCGTTGACGAGGCTCAGTAGTTGAGGAGCGACATATGAAACTTTGCTTTGTGTGATGTTATTGTATTTTTTTTTGCAAAGGCTAGGTTTGCCCATGCTAGACAGATTTTGCCGAAACTTTGCTTTGTGTGATGTTATTGTATTTTTTTGCAAAGGCTAGGTTCGCCCATGCTAGACAGATTTTGCTGAGACTTTGAGGACCTTTTGAATTGAACTTTGCTATAGCATTTTCTTGACAGGTATATATTTAACCGTAACTGTAACTTTAAATTTGTTTCCATTTTAGATTTTTGCTGTAACTTGTACTGAAAGAATTTGTTTTGTTTTATATTTTTACTTTTGATTTGTTTTTATTTTAAGTTTCATAGTTTTTCCTTTACTTTATGGGGTAGAACACACACTGTGCTATTGTGAGAGAGGTCCCTTTTTTCTCTCACCTATCCAACACAAACCCACTTGCTCCTGTTTTATTTTAGTGTTTTGTGTTAGTAACTGTGCTTGTTATTTAGTTGTGTAGGAATAAAGATCGTTTTGCACCTTCTGTGTTTCAACTCTTTCTTCACAATCAATTCTGTCAGAGCTCCTAGAGATAATCACACACTCTTTAACTTGTCATCCTTCGAACCTCCAGTTAAAGGGTAACAAGAAATATTATGCCAACCTAAACAAAAAGAAAATTAATGAGTTTCAGGACGTGAGAGCACAATACGAGTCTTTACTAGTAGAAAGTCAGGTGGAGTAGTTCTGCAGATGAGTTAAAGATTTCCACTCATTAATATTTGGGTAAACTCAAAACTCCAGTTAAACGAGTTAAATCTCGAAATATTTCAGTTTAACTTCGAAGATGTTAACATTTGAAATGTTTGTGATTGAACTCTCGAATAAGTTAAGCAACTGTAAACCAGAGTTGTTTTACGTCACGTCACTATCTTTTTTCTGATTGGTCCTAAACGCGTTACATCTCGAAATATTTCAGTTTAACTCCGAGAATGTTAACATTTGAAATGTTTGTGATTGAACTCTTGAATAAGTTAAGCAACTGGAAACCAGAGTAGTTTTACGTCACGTCGTCATCTTCTTTCTGATTGGTCCAAATAGATTTTTAACGTTACTACCTTCTTCTTGGTCCAATAAAATAGTTCTATGCTACGTCATTACCTTCATGGTGAAAATAGTTCTATGCTACGTCATCACCTTCATGGTCCAAATTAGTTTTATTTTTGAGCAACTTTATACTATAGCGCCCTCTTCTGATTAGTTCAGCAAAACGTATCTTTGAGTAGTTGTACTTATGGAAAATAACCCTTTTCTCCAATCTATTTCACGATGACAGCACTTCAAGTTAAGCGAACAGGCTAATTTAAGCATACATATTTTGGACAACAGCTGAAAACAAACAAGAAATGGAAAAGAAAAACATTCTCAAAATTAGTTTCTTCTTGCTCCGAGGAATCTCCAGATTCCTGACTCCTCTAGTCATGTTAATATTTTATTAATAGGATAAAGAATTATTAGCTAAACACCATAAAACTGACCGGCATTATTACCTTATCTGTACATGTATCTAGGCGGTCATAACCAGGGACGTCGAGAGCCAGCCCAGGCACTGGGGTCAGTAATATCATCGGGCCCCCCCCTTTCATTTTATTTATTAATTTTGCTGATTTTTCATAAAAGAAATTTAGGTGATAAATTTCTTCATGAATCTATGAAAAAGCAGTAGCCATTTTAGCTCATTAGGTGGTATGCATTTCTAGTGAGCTTTGGAATATCCCACTGCCGGGGCAGCTGCCCCCTTGCCCCTCCTCTCGTCATCCCTGGTCCCAACTTGCACTCTTGCTTCCAAACTTTGCTGCTTTCATAACTGTCGCATTTTAGTTACATCATAAAAGAAAAGAAAAAGGCTGTAAAATGATTTTATCTTTCGACTGTAAACTGATGATTTTTTTTTTACATTGAAACATCATCTGTTAACCTTAAAGTTTGAATTTTGTTCTCACTGTCTTATAACATTATTTATAGCATTCTTTTCAAATTATCACAGAGTCCCTGACTCAGGAGTAAAGATAATCTGACTCATTCTTATACAAAGTGAAGTTCTCTTTCTGTGGAATAAACATTGGAAACACCTTAAAACTACTTTCGAAAATTAGAGTTTATTTCATCAGGGGCTATAATAAGTTCAGCGGCCCAGTGTTTCACGTGCCAGTCCGAGGCTTTAGGGCTGTTAGGTGAGTTATAAGTATTCGGTCAAGCCTCATTATTTGATTAGAGAAGCCCACGTGTTACCAGTTTTAACTCACTTACTTCTCTTTAGTCTATCGTTTCAAGACGGCTAGTGCAGATAGCCCTCAACAAAATAAGGTAAGCAAATTTCTAAGAATCCATGAGTGAAAGCAAAGGTTTGGTTTGTTGTAAATTTCGCGCAAAGGGATATCTAGAAAGAACGTAGTTAGTCATCACTACCCACCGCCAACTATTGGGCTACTCTTTTACCAACGAATAGACCGTCACATTATAACTTCCCCACGGCAGAAAGGGCGAGTATGTTTGGTGAGACGGGGATTCGAACCCGCAACCTGTAGATTGCCATGCCAGGCCCTAGAAAGCAAACCATAATGTTTTATAATATGTCAACTACACCACATCTGCCATATCCAGTATCGACGACTACGTTGTGAACCAGATTAAACAAATTAATTGAATTATTAACGATTTTATTTAAATCATTTACAAGTTTTTTTTTTTTGGGGGGGGAGAGAATTTATAACATGTTATTTATTTTAACGCTGATTATTTTCTTTTATTTATATTATTAATCTTTATTCGAATTAGCTAACATTTGCTATCGTACACAGGAACGAGTAAGGAAGGTGATGCAACGGCAAGGTAGACGACAATGGCAGCCGGGAAGTGTTTTGATTGGCTCTCAAAGAAATGTTGCAGGTGTGGCTAATTTCCGTTGTTCAATACGTTTTGTTGTTAAGTGCAGAGTTACGCAATAAGTTATCGGTGTATCGAAACCAATATTTAGCGTTAACATCCCTCAAACTTGTCGCTGAGATATCTGGTGGAGGTCATTGTGCACTATGTAAAGAATAGATGAATATAAAGCGGTTACAATTGTTTTGTAAAAAAAGAACAAAAAAGAACGTGAAACGAAAACTATAATGGTTATTGATAAAGTAAAATGAAGATATGATAAGAAAATCGATTAGCAAAAAAACGTTAAACAGAAAGATGAAAAAAAAACGTGCCAAATTAGGGGTAAAAATATACAACACAAGATAAACATTTTTTTTAGACAGTTAAGACAAACTAAAGGTTGAAGATCACTGATTCCAGAATCTAGGTATAATCCACAAGGATGAATAATATTTGAAGTAGCAATCCAAGAGCTTCTCTCATTTCTCTATCATCTTTGTTTTTGAAACCGGTTTCAGTACCTATGAGAATCACATCGTTAATATAATGACTGCGTTGGTTAAGTGTTGGTTTGGTGTTTAAATAAGATTTATGGTTGTTGAAACGCGCACAAACAGTCGTTTGGATCTCTCCTACCGACTGGAGTTTGCGTGTTTTTTTTTTTAATGTCTGAGACAAATGGTGTTGTGGTCATATTTGTCCAGAAAATAATCGGTAGTTTTTATAAACTTGTAGGTCAGACTACCAGCTTTATTACGTGGATGACAACCATTCTGTGGTGGGTTGTAATTCACTTCTGCATGACAAAGATTTCTGCTCTTCCGGAAAGAGACAACAGGAACAAATGTGTTTCAGGCGATAGTTCAGCTACAATAGATAAAGTTTTTTCTTTCAAGAATACTCAAAACATTTTTTAGCTTAGAGTGGTGAGTGATACACAGTACATATTATCTTTAACTCTTCAGTAATACACAGTACATATTATCTTTAACTCTTCAGTAAAACACAGTACATATTATATTTAACTTTTCAGTAATACACAGTACATATTATCTTTAACTCTTCAGTAATACACAGTTTAAATTATATTTAACTCTTCAGTAATACACAGTACATATTATATTTAACACTTCAGTAATACACAGTACATATTATATTTAACTCTTCAGTAATACACAGTACATATTATATTTAACTCTTCAGTAATACACAGTACATATTATATTTAACTCTTCAGTAATACACAGTACATATTATATTTAACTCTTCAGTAATACACAGTTTAAAGAACGGTTTTTCTTTTAGTGTTGTTAGCTTTGTCAACGGATTGGAAACTTCAGTATCTTTATAACCTCTTTTTTAACCCGGATTATTTTAAGTTTTCTGTTGATTTGTTTTTGAATCAGTACAGATTTTCTTGACTATAGATAACATTCCGTTCAGTATGGGTTGAGTAACAACTTTAGTAGTGAAGGTATTTTCAGTTCAAGTTATTGTGTAATTTTAAACAGACAGTGATAACAATAAGTAACTAAAGGTAAACTTGATTGTTTTGTGAAAGGTGATAACATAAGAAAACAAGTTTTTTAAGTGATTCAAACCCGGCTTATCATCTATGTAACGTTCCCAAGTGCGAGGTTTCAAAGGCCTTTGTTGTAAGAGCTGGTTTTCAATAAGACCCATAAATATTGTTGCGTCAGCGAGGTCACGTGATCAGTATCAAGCCACCTATTTTCTAGAAATATCCTGTTCCTTCGTGAATACCCTAGCATTTACTAGATTGGGGATAGTCTGGTATATATAAGATGGTCACAACGTGACGGAACAGTGTAATATTGAGTAATTTAACTGAAGTCAGAGAGTGTGTAATTGAACACGAGCACGTGAAACGTTGTTATAGCGCGACTGTTGAAATTAAGTGTATCGTAAAGTTATATTCAGAAAGAATAAACCAGTTTTTATTAAGAAAGGACTTGTGTCGCTAAAGTTTCGTGGGAACGAAGTTACGGAAAATTAATTAACGACTGGAGGCGTAACAATATCTTAGCACAGTTAGGAGCCATCTTGGTGGCCATTGATTTAATGTTCGTTGTTGAATTCAAACTCGATATGAGATAAGACAGAAAAGGTCGATTACGTTTCGAGATTTTATTGGATTGGAAAGGTTTAGGAGAGGTTTTTTTTTCTGCCCTTCGTCGCATGTAAATATTAATGTAAAGGGGAGAAGCATCCATTATACACAGAAGACTGTTAGGAGGTAAAAGTCTGTTGGCATTGATATTTATAATATGAGTCATTCCCTTTTTGTAAGAAGGGAGAAAACACAATATTTTTTATGTGGTGGACAAAAGCCGAAAGCTTCTCGATGACCATGCTTGTGTTAGACATAAGAAAGACGGCCGGGATTATTAAATTTATGTATTTATTACTTACATCATTTATCTAGTAAATATTACTCATCGTTTTAATATTGATGTATTTTTTATGTCATATATATATATATATCAAATATTACTAATTATTTATTTGTTTGTTTGAAATTAAGCACAAAGCACAATTAAGCACAATGGGCTATCTGTGCTCTGCCCACCACGGGTACCGAAACCCGGTTTCTAGCGTTGTAAGTCCGCAGACATACTGCTGTGCCACTGGTGGGCTTTTAATATTGATATATTGTTTATATCATCTATATATACCAAATAGGCCCGGCATGGCCAGGTGTTTAGGCGCTCGACTCGCAATCTGAGGGTCGCGGGTTCGAATCCCCATCACACCAAACATGCTCGCCTTTTCAGCCGTGGGGGCGTTATAATGTGACGGTCAATCCCACTATTCGTTGGTAAAAGAGTAGCCCAAGAGTTGGCGGTGGGTGGTGATGACTAGCTGCCTTCCCTCTAGTCTTACAATGCTAAATTAGGGACGGCTAGCGCAGATAGCCCTCGTGTAGCTTTGCGCGAAATTCAAAAACAAATAAACAATATATCAAATATTACTAATTGTTTTAATATTGATGTATTGTTTATGTCATCTATATATATAAAATATTACTACACATTCTAGAGACTGTAAAAATATAAGTATGTTAAGGAAAAGGAATTTTTCCAAACCTGGTTCTTACCTTTATATATATTATTTAACTTCTCAAAGTTAACTGGAAATTATAACTATTTTCTCTTCTGTTCTTATTACTCTGTTTCCATTTCATTTAATATTTTAACTCTTACCATTTTTGTAAGACTGTTTAAAATTTAAATTTCGTTCTTAACTTTTCTGACTTATAAGCTACAAGTAATCTTCATTAACAAAGCTGGTTAACCCTAAATTACTACTGTATAGCACTAGACAGAGTAGTTTGTTTGTGAATAGCAGTCCCTTATTTTAAACAACACCCACTGCCAACTCTCTGGCTACCATCGTCTAATGAGGAGTGGAAATTCACTTATAGTACACCCACGACTCCAAATGTGAAACGCATTTTTGTGGCAAAGGGCTGTGAACCATGAATCGTCATATTCACTATCCTCGCACACTAACCACTAGATAGGGTAACATTACTGGGACTTTATGTATTTTTAATAAAAATGCCCAAAACATACTTAAGAAAAAAATATCAACAAAAATAAACTGTATATTACCATACGAACAGCATATATAATAAAATTCGAGCTAGGTGGAGAATTATTTGAAAAAATAGCAAAATATCACCAATATTTTTTACTTTCAACAATTAATTAAAAGATGTTTTAAGTCTGTAGGTATCTCATAAACTTTTTAAATATATAACACAGTTAAAACTGGTGTAGCAAAGAAATAAAAAAACGCGTGTCATATAAAGCTATTATTAACCATGTTAAACATTTAGAGAGGTGTAAAAAACCCAGAAGATGGCGTTCCTACAAGGATTTATTTTAAAAGTGATGTATTGTTTATGCAGTCTATATATATCAAATGTTATTCGTTGTATTAAAATTGATGGGCTATCTATGCTGTGCCCACCACGATTATCGAAACTCAATTTTTCGCGTTATATGCCCTCTTACTCCAAACGACAAAAATCCGTTATTGAATACGATGTGTCTTCAGTGTGCTTTTTTGTCTCCTAATTATTAAGGTTTTGAAAAAATCACAGTTTTGCTGTTATTACGTAACTTCATGTCAAGTCAACCAACTTTATAAATATGCCTAGTTTTATCTCGCCCATTTACTCCAATAGAATGCATGGAAAAGAATTGGATTTCTTTCCGCTACGTTAATGACCTATTCAGTCGCTTGTATTGCGTCACACAATCTTATGGTTACAGTTGCCACCGGTGCAAGTTATACGATAAAATTGGATGTTCCAATTTTAATAGTAACCCCAATTTTCAATACTCTTTTCTATGTTTTCATTCTTTTTCTTGCATAACGTATCTCAGACCTTTTCGAAAAACGCATACATTTAAAAAAAGATTTAAAAAACTGACACCTAGCACGTCAAACACCTATGAAATTTGAAAACCAAAACTTGAATAATTCAGCGCCCTCTATCATACTGCGTTTGATTTACGAGGTTAATGAAGCGATCGGAATAAGCAGAATATAACGACTGAATTATTCATAGCTCAAAAAAATCACAAGTCCACGCTTTTTGTCAAATATGTATGTGTATACATATTTTATGTATGGGATAGATTTCTAATAAAAGTTTTTTTTTTCTTTTCTAAGGTTATATGTTGTTATGTAGGGACCACCTGTGGCTCAGCGACATTTTTGATATTTGTTTTTGAAACATTGAGTACATACGAAATAAAATATCATTTCCTGGTAATTAAAAAACCTGTCCAAAGGCATTTAGTGTACTGCCTGCTCTTCTAAGAGGATTCCTCACCTTTCGAAGTGGTCTTGATCTTTGGACTTCTACACAATACTTTAAATGGACCCATAAAATGAACAAGCGAAAAACAGTAAAACATATTGTTACGACAGCGGAA